ATATATGTATATATATATGAATTAAATAACTTTTAAAACCGGGCAATGGGATATTCATGCTGGCGGTCAATAATTTCCAATTTGCCGACCAACAACCCTTAATCAAAAGTTTAACTTATTAAGAAAAAAATTGTGGCATACACTGGGTTGTTAGGATCTTATGACTAGGAATGTTGATACCTTCAAGGCATGATCGAGAAATTGATCAAGGTCGGGAAGCTTAAGGCATTTGTAGCTCCAAAGCAATGACATGGGGAGGAGAGAAAGCTTTGGTAGAAGATATTTTAGACAAGTCAGTTCGAGCACATGTCATCCACATCGTTGACGTTATTTCTACCAACTTTGAAGGAGGCAAAAACTCATCCCATCGAGACAGTCTAAAGAGGTATTAATCAAAAGAATTATGCGCAGCCACCCTTTCTCCCTGACACAACTCGCATCCCCCATCACCTTCACCTGTGAGGATTCATCCACCAAGGGGAATCCCAACAACATCATTGATATCGATGCATTTATTATCAACCATCAAATTAATAACAACCTTATCGATACAACAACTTCGTGAACATCATGCTCAAATCAGTGTCTGAGAATAAGAATCTAAAAAATAACTGACTAATCGCAATTGTATATATGATATATGGTTTTTTCATTGAGATGAAAGAAGTGTTGAGAATCGTCATTGTGTCAGTCACTTTAGGAGAAAATGACTAAAAATATGTGATCACGGAGGACTTCACAGTTGTTGACTCGCTACTCACATATAATGTCTTTTTTGGGTGCCTCCTGCTTAGATCTTTTAAGGTAATTACCTTTATTTATCATGTGCTAATGAAGTTTTCAGATGACAAGAAAGTAATCACTGCCCAAGGCAATCTCGAGCAGTTTCACACTTGCTATCTTCAGACGATCAGAAGCAACGGACAATGGTTTTCTAAGCTCAACAACTGACGTAAATAGAATTTTGAGACCAATGAGATCACTCATAAGTAGGGCTGTAAAAAAAACTCGTTGTTCGCGAACAATTCGTGTTCGGTTCGTCAATGAGTTCGTGTTCGATTCGTTCGATAAGTAAACGAGACGAACATGAACAAATTCTTTCGTTCGGTTAGTTAAACGAACTAAACATGAAAAGTGATGCGTTCGTTCGTGTTTGAATCGTTATTGTTCGAAATATAAAATAATTTAAAATAATTATATATATTTAGTCATTTTCTCCTAAAGTGACTGACACAATGACGATTCTCAACACTTCTTTCATCTCAATGAAAAAACCATATATCATATATACAATTGCGATTAGTCAGTTATTTTTTAGATTCTTATTCTCAGACACTGATTTGAGCATGATGTTCACGAAGTTGTTGTATCGATAAGGTTGTTATTAATTTGATGGTTGATAATAAATGCATCGATATCAATGATGTTGTTGGGATTCCCCTTGGTGGATGAATCCTCACAGGTGAAGGTGATGGGGGATGCGAGTTGTGTCAGGGAGAAAGGGTGGCTGCGCATAATTCTTTTGATTAATACCTCTTTAGACTGTCTCGATGGGATGAGTTTTTGCCTCCTTCAAAGTTGGTAGAAATAACGTCAACGATGTGGATGACATGTGCTCGAACTGACTTGTCTAAAATATCTTCTACCAAAGCTTTCTCTCCTCCCCATGTCATTGCTTTGGAGCTACAAATGCCTTAAGCTTCCCGACCTTGATCAATTTCTCGATGATGCCTTGAAGGTATCAACATTCCTTCGTGATGTGGTCATGGTCATGGTGGTATACCTAGTAATCCTAGTGATGTGGTCATGGTCATGGTGGTATACCTAGTAATTTTCGGGGTCTCAGAGGTAAGCTCAAATATTCATTGAGGGCGCTCTCTTGAAGTAATAATTATTTTGGATGAACTTCTGCATCTCGACCATGAAACCCTCAACAGAGTTGTATTGGGTAAATCTTGAGGCGCTCATGGTGTCGAGCCACTGTTGATCAAGATATTGACTGCGACTTCCTCTGTTGTATGTTATGTAGGTTGCCTTGTCATCCCAAGGTGGTTGAGTGTTTTCATATCATAGACGGGCTAAAGGAAGCAAATTATCCACTAGTTTTTAGCTATCACATTTGGGGGACCTCTTTATACGTACAATGTATCGAGGATTCTGCCATGGAGGAAATAGGGGTAGAGTTATGCTCCTTTGAGGATGCATGGTTGTTGGCCATCTCTAATAACCTGACCAACGTCTTTAGTTTCTGTAGGCTCAATGCATATCAAAATGGTCATTCCTTTAGTCATAATCTATGACGACATGAGCTACTGCGGGCTTCAGGTCCCGCACTTCCAACATTTTCCTCTGGATCTGTGTAATGGACAAGCAAAGGCTCTCATGACGTCCCTATTAGATTAATAATTTATCATGCAAGTTTTTTCTGAGGTTTTTGAGTTGTGGAAAATTGAGCAACAAATATTATCTTGAAATCAATGAATAATGCAATTACTACCAGGGATAATGTATCGAACCACATGAAGGTTGACTCCCTCGACAGGATAAAAAAATATGTCATTTTAGCTTGTCAGTGATCCTCAGCAGACAAGTATTATACTTAGAAGAGACTGTGTGGTCGATTGGATCGATCTTGTTCTTAGAGGACCATAATGCTAGGATATCGAACTTCGTTGAGGGCTCATCCTTGTGTTAGGGATAATGCATATTTTTTTATTATCGGGGTGCCTTAGTACCGTCAAGCCGACGTTAGTCGATTAGTGCTAACCCAAAGCTACAAAAATTCACAGTTCCTTTCTAGAGATAGGGAGCTTATTTGACTATTGGGCGTCGACCGTCCCTCTCAGGGGTAACGCTGTATTCACAGAGCCAACGTGTCTCAGATGGCATCAAACAATTGATCCTTCTACTCCTTAATCTATTTGTTAATAAAATATTTTATGCACTCCATATTGACAACATCTCTGCTATGAGTTTCTTCTCTGTTGGTTTTCATCTTCTTCTATGCGACATGATCTAAGCTCAACACACATTTTAAAATGTTGGATCTTAATTTTTTAGTGAATCACACTTTAAGATGTAGAGAGTAAGAAAGGAGAGAGAGAAAGATTTCACAATAATTAACAATAAATCATATCTACCATGTTAATTTTTCTTGACCTTTTTTTATAATTTAATTATCTTTGGTCATGAAATGATCACCATATTTACAGGGAAGGAAGAATAATAGGTGATGATATATTTTCCTGTGCTTTACTTGTGGTTGTACAATAAATTATTTGTATTTTATAAATGCGAGTTTATCTCTCATGTACTATTTTACTCAACCGACAGAGTTTGTTGGCTCTTGCTCGACAGGACTGATTTGGCCAGCTAGTTTGAGTTAGCGTTACTAAACGGCTGAACTAGAATGGTCTTGGGTCGCCCAGATTGGTTTAGTCGACTAAATTAGTTTGACTGTCGACCCCTGATAATAAACAAGGGAGCTTTTGGACCTCTCCAGTATGATTGGAGATGCTGATGACATGGTATTCCCGTGAGTCGACTTCTTCATATTGAATGGTTTTAATCTTCTTGTCTTTTTTTCTATTGAACAACTCAAATTGAGATCTTTTGGCATTCTATTGTGTCTCAGTCGGTTTTGACCTTACTATTTCTGAGTCGGACGACTGCCTCCAATCATATAAGTCGGCTTCAAAGTCTTCTTCCAACGAGCCCTCATTTGTCTTACTCTTCTCATTTGAATCATTAGATCTCACCAGGATCAACAATTAAATTTTTTGTTGCACACAATTAAAATATTAATTTAACTTTTGTTGCATTTGAATTAATATTTGAACCATTAGATCTCACCAGGATCAACTGTTAAATATTTTTGTTGCACACAATTAAAATATTAATTTAACTTTTTATAAATTTACTTGAAATTTGAACAACTTTTCTATAACTCGTTAGAGTGGGTTATCAACATTTGTCATTTATTGTTCCAAAGTTTGTCTAAATATTTTAAAAATCATGATTGAATATTATTCGACCATTGTTCACATCTTATTTATAATTAAATACTAGATTTTGATAAACTCCAAATAAGTTCGATCACGAACATATTTCCACCAATATTTGAAGTTAGAAATCCCATGCTTATTATATTTTATGGATATTAAACAATTTGTAAAAACATAAAAAACTCAACATACAATATTACTAATTTTGTGCAACAACTATGAGATAGAGACAAATAGTTTATCACAAAATCTTTTCTCATGTATAACAAATGCAAGAGATGAGAAAGGTATTAAGACCATGAAAGGGCAGCAACTTAATGTTCAATAGCTTGCTCATCTAAAAATTCAGGGGTATTTTGGTTAAAACAAAACTTTTAGATTATTTAAAAAAAAAAGGAAAAATTGACATATCTCTCTAATTTTAATTATTAAGAGATTTATATAAAGTCAAATTTTTACTTCGAGATTTAGAAAATCTTATATGGTTTAAATCTAAGAAAATGTTTATCAACATATTTGATAAATTTGATTAAATCCCGTCAGACAGTTTTACAAAGTATGTCACGATTTAAAAGTTAGTAATGCTTCTTAAAATAAAAAAAATATTAAATTTTAATATAGTTATAATTAGCTGATTAATAAATAATGATTTAAGAACTAGTTAATATTAATTAAAAGATTATTAACTTAAAATCTATTAAATAATAATGTAGCATTAATTTAGTTTAATTTATTTGTAATTATATTAATCAAGAATCACTAAAGTTTTAAAATATATAATTTTAATTAATTAACTAGTAAAGTATTTAATCTAAAAATTTTAAATTAAAATTAATTATTAATTATAACACAATTAAAATAATAAAATTAACTCAAATAACAAAATAATAAAAATTTTAAATTAAAGTTAATTTAAAATTAATTATTAATTATAACATAATTAAAATAATAAAATTAACTCAAATAACAAAATAAACAAACCTATCTTCTCTTCCCCCTCCCCCTGCTCCGCCTCGCCTACTTTCACTCCCGCTCTCCCGGTTGCGCCCTAAAATATATCCTTCGGGACCAAACCCTCACGATACTGTTGCGAATAGAGATGACAGGGAAGGCAACGATTCAATAGCAGTACGCAGAGATCCGAAATTCCTAACTTTATCTTTTTTCCGCTCTGTTCCCACCGACAGGTACTTCACATCTTCCTTTTCGCGCGAAAGCCCGTGCCGGCTTGAAGGGCGAAAGCCTTGAAATCCGGATTTATCAAATCTGCGGCTTTATTTTGTCTAGAATGACCTTCAGGCAAGATTTAGGTTAAATCCAGGTTAAATCCTGCTCTTAATCCGTCACCAGACCGGCCGTTTGTTTTCCCGCGCATTTCTGGTCAGCCATTTGCGCGAACCTGCTGTCTTCTTATTCCCTAAAGGCATTTCGCTCCGTCTGTTATCCTGCGGTTCCTAAAATGCTTTATCCGTGCGTCCTCTCGAGTTCATATCCACGGTCGTCATATGGGGTTCCGCATCACCACGCTTCATTCTTAGCAGTTCGCAGAGAAATCAGTTGATTTGATGGTGTTATTCCAAATTCTTATGTAGCAGACTGATTATAAAGAAGGATCCTTTTTTCAACGTACAAACATCGTTTGACAATGGACGAAACCACATCTCACGACGGGCGAGAAGAAGGTGTGACCTGACTCTAGGCTTTGCCCTTATATTTCTATTTGATGAGCGGGCATTTTAAAAATTAATGCCGCTACTTCTTTGGTGTTGGTTTATACCTTGCGCTTTATTTATTTATTGTTTTTTTTTTAATTTTAAATTTGGTCTAGTTATATTTTTGCGTTTTTTTATCGAGTTTTTGATATGGCAGAGGACGAGGAAGAGTACGAGGAGGTTGGTGGTGGGAGCCGGCTCCTAGGGTTTATGTTTGGGAATGTTGATAACTCTGGTGATCTCGATGTTGATTATCTGGACGAGGTATTTTTTGCAATATCTGCATAGCTTGCTTTTGAGATTTGTTGTGCCTGGATAGGGCTGTAAATACCAATGCACTTGATGAACAACTCAAAACCGGCTTGATTAATACTCTATGTTTGTTCAAATTAATAAATAAACAAGTTTGAACATTTGTTTACAAATTTGAAGCTTTAGTGAACCAAATTTGAACATAGTTCAACTCGCTTGTTAATGTTCATGACAAATTTGTTTGTTGTTCCACAAGTAACTTGCCAAATGCTTTATACTTATATTATATATTATTTAAACAAAATTTGATTAATAAGAACCTATTTAATAGTAATATATTATAATTTAATATCAATATTTATATCACATTAATGCAATTTTTTTTATCTTTTTATTTCAATGAACAAGTTGTTAGTATTTTTTATCTTATTTGATTGTGAAAAAGCTTTTAATTAATATATTAATTTTTTTGCTTGAATAAACTAGTTAAATGTTAATTTGAAAACTATTCAGTTGTTTGTTTATTTAGATTCATAAAATTTTAACTTGTTTATTAGTTTTATATAAAAAATAATGTAAAAATCAAGTTTTAATTTTATATAAAAAATTAAGTTACTCATTTGAAATTTTAGCTTTTTAATTAATATAAACAAACCAAATATAAATCAAGTATTAACATTAAAACTCTTAAGCAAGCCAAATATAAACATATGTGAAAGCTCGTCTGAAGCTGAGCTTGAACAACTTATTATTCAACCAACCCAAGTCCCAAATCATCACATACTCGACTTGAATCGGCTCAATTATAAGTTACATGCCTGGATGAACTCTTGTTGAAAATGCTTACTTAGATATGCTTTTTTTGTTTTTTTACTGATCTAGAACATGCTTTCTGATTACAACTTTCTATCTATGCCTGATTACTCTTTTGTCCATCATTATTGGAAGCCTTATTGAAAGTATACAAAAGCTGCATGATCAGGTGCTTCTGAAATTCTATTCAATTCATCAGCTGCTTTTTATCCTTTTTTTCCACTCGCTGCACTTCATTTTCTATGATCTTCCACTATTTACCGAACACCTTCAGCCTCCTGCTTGTTTTTCTTCAATATTTGCAAATTCAGGAATTGATCTACAGCCTAACTAGTAACTTAATGATTGATTCTCCCGCAAGGAAGTTAGGCCTTGCACTTTCAGCCGGAAATTATTTCCAACATTCTTATGATATTTTGATATGAGATAATGATTTGTTCTTTCTCAAGGAAATCATGCCTTGTACTTTAAGCCAATAATTATTTTTGACATTCATATGATATTTTGATATAAGCTTCTAACCCGTTGTACTTTTATATTAAATGCAGTTCAACATACAAGATCAATATATGAAATTTAACTTTCTATTGTTTTTCCTCATTCAAAATTAATATGCGCTGAATCTGAAATTGTTGTTTACTTTCCTGTCATCTTGTTTCTCCTTGGCATTCTGAGGCCACGAACCACCTCTTTTACAATCTTGTCCTTAGCCCATCACTAGAAATTCTATTTGGGACCGCAACTTAATCTCCATTGAGGTGTCTCACCAATATTTTGCATTGTAATTAGAATCCGAACTTTTGATTGTTGGATGATTGCTCTTTAATGAATCAACTAGATATTATGGAAGTCATTGATTCTTCGATTATAGCTTGCTAATCTGATTTTACGGCATATGTTTCATTTAGCATCACTCTGCTCTTTGTTTCTTGTTGAAAACCTGCCATACCTCTAATTTGATTTTGAGTGGGAAACACACAATAATAATTGATACCTGTTGCATGCAATCCCTTCTATCTTTATGATCAAAGAGAATTCAAGAGCAACTAATCCATCTTCATGACATTAGTGCCTACAAAACTAGCATCAGTCGCTATATTTATTGCTAATTTGATTTCACAATATAGGCTTCATTTAAGATCACATTACTTCTCAGTTTCTATTTGAGAACCGGCCATATCACTAGTCCGAGAGTGGCAAACACAACCAAAATTTATACCTGATGCATGCAACCTTCCTAGCTTCATGATCATGGAGAATGCAAGTGTGGAGCATCCCATCGATCTCCATGACATTACTATCTACACAACATAGCATAGTATTACCAAGTAAAACTTAGGTTTTAATCCTCATCTTCTCCATGCCACCATGACTTATTATTTGTTACCAAAATAGCCACGTTTGAGTCTTTTATTAGTTACATTGCTCGTCTTTGATGCCTCATTTTGACATATATAGTTTGAGTTGTGGTGTTGCTGAAGTCAGGCCCATATGTTTCTACCTTTTTAGTAATCATTAACACTTCTTTTTTTTGCAAGGCAGTCGACCTTCAATATTTCTCAAGTTAATGAGGTACATATATTGGCAGTGAAACTCATTTAAATAAATCTGAGAGCACCATGATGGAGGAGTGAGTTTGGGCTAGGTCTTGAGTTTTCCAACCCTCTTGTTGTGGTGAATGTATGTGTGGATGGCGATGAAGGCCTTTGGAGTGCTTGAGAGGTGGTGTTTTTGGATGGAATTTATTTTTGATAGATTTAGGATGGTGTTGTGACATGGTTAAAAGTTGTATGGGGTGAATGGAAGAGGTGGGAATGTGGTGGAGTGATTGGCGAGGGTTGGACTCGAGTGCGGAGACTTGGAAGTGAGTGCCTATTCGGAAGGGGAGAGGGAACTCTCGAGCTTCCCTATGGTATAAGGAATATTGTGAAGGGTAAAAGAATGGCTTATATCCTTTAGAATGGGATGTCCAGGAGATGGTATTGTTTCTTGGATGTGATATGGAGGTTGGTGGAGAGAGATTAGGGGTTATAAAGTTCTTGAGGAGGCGGATGGTGGTGCCTAGGTTTGGAAAAATGTCAGAACTGAGTGGTAGCACTAGGGAATGGATTATGGATATAGATGCTGATTAAAATGAGGGTGTGAATGATGCTAAAGGAGAAGAAAATCTTGGAGAAAATCAATAAAAAGTACACATGATTCGAAGCTCACAATTGATTTGAATTTGGATGATTACCACCAAGCAAACAAATTCAAGGTCAAGCCGCCAAGTAAGTTTTTTGAACAAGAACAAATCCTTATTTTGGATTCAGAAAAGAAAGAAAGAAAAAAGAAGACATCAAATTTCAGTTTTGTTATAATTACAACATAGGGCCCGTTTGGGACAGCGTATCGGTGCGGAGGCGTTTTCAAAACGCCGCCTAAGCGTTTGTTTCTCATGTTGGGGGCGCGTTTCCATAAACACCGTTTCTTAATTTACATTACACGCGGACCCGCAATCCGAGTTCGGCCTTCTGGGTTTTACATCGTTGCCCTCGTTAATCATTTCTTCATCGCCTCCTTTTCACTTGGAGTCGAAGGCTTTCCTGAGGGACTTTCCTCTTGGATTCGAAGGCTTATCTCTTGCATCCCGCTTCCTCGCACGAATTCGTTCGGCAGGTAAGGATCCATTTCTTTCCCCCTTTCCCCAACTCGACGAAAAAGCTCTGGAAATGTTTTGATCCACTTTTTTGTGGCTAAAAGCCTAGATCTAGTTGTTGGTAGAGTAATATTTAGATCCACTTTTTTTTTGTGAAATATATGAAGAATGGAGATCCAACGGTGATCTATTAACGAATATAGATCCACCGATCTTTTTCTCCCTCGTGCTTTTTACTGTGTGTATGTTTCTCGCTCTTTTTTTCCCTCTGTTACATTTCTGGAATATAGATCCAACGGTGATCTCTTCACAAATATAGAACCACCGATCTTTTTCTCCCTCTGGTACATTTCTGGAATATGAAGATTGAAGATTTTGATCTGTTTTAATGGTGTTCCATAAGTTTGATCTCTGTTTTTAATTTATGATATGGTTGATTTATGATTTCGGTGAATGTGGGGGATTTCATTTTGTTGTTGTGGCTATTAAAAATTTGATATGGCAAGAAGTATAAGCAATCTTTATGCCATTATATATGCAGTCTCATATGACAAGATCTATATGCAGTCTTTATCATTTGTTCACTTTAAAGAATTATATGGAAGTCTTATGCAGATCTTTATACAGTCTTTATGCAAGGTCTTTATGCAGTTTAGAGAATTATATGGAGGAACTTAAATTATGCATAATCTATTCGCTCGGTTAGAAGTTTGACATGAATATATGTTCCCAAAATTGTTCTCTTTTCCAGTTAGAAGTATGAATTGCAATTTTGTTTTTTGAAAGAAATATAGAGATAATAGAGGAGTGATTATCAACTCTCCTTGCCAATTCTCCTTGCATTTCTTCTCTTCCACAAAAATTAGATAACGACATGGATCACTATAACATTTATGTTATAGTGTAATTTGTGTTCAAATGATTCATTTCAAGTGACTCATCTGACAAAAATTATTATGCTTTCCTTTCCACAAAAATGTCATTTTATATACTTTTTTTTTCTTGAACGCCATTAATTTCATGTAGCACGTGGGAAGAAAGAATTATTCAATAAAAGTCTAAAGAATCTGGATCATCAGCGATGCGGGATAAAGAGATCATCATGATATTTTGGGATCTTTGTGTGAGGGAAGTCAAGTTGGGTAATAGACCAACCACCTATTTCAATAAAGAAGGTTGGCGAAATCTAACCCTTAAATTCAAGGAATTGACCGGAAGGGATTATGATCGGTTGAAATTAAAAAACAAATGAGATCAATTAAAAAAAAACTAAAAAATTTGAAAAAAATTCAAAAGAGGATCAACAGGATTGGGTTGGGATCCACTTAAGCGGACAATAGACGCACCATATGAATAGTGGGCTCAAAAGTTAGAGGTAAATACATAATTATATATGGTTTTTGCATTGATTGCATCTTTCTAAATATTTTGACTAATAATTTATATTTTCTATTACAGGTAGTGCCGACTGCCAAAAAATTCAAACTTAGTGGCATTGATCCAGTATTAGAGGAAAAGTTGGATGACATGTTCATAGGTGATGTCCGGAACTCATGCTTTT